AAAAAAAAAAAAAAAAACAAGTTTCTGTGTGCTTAGTGGTACTGAAGAGCTAAGGGTCAGAAGGTACTTGGTGTTCTACCATTGACAATATCAGATTCTTCCAGCTGACCAAGAGATGTTAATCGGGTTGTAGTTGTGTGGCCTATTATCAGATGTAGTTGGTGTTTTTATCAGTGAAAGGAACTAAGAACTCTTTTTTTTCTCTCATTTCCTTGCAGATGCCAGACCCTAGAAGACTCTTGCTTCTTCCTGCTACCAATGGGTTCTTCGTGGTTTTTTCCTCCTAATCTAATTATAGAAAGATAAACTGTCTGTGACTTTCAAACTGACAAGTACCTTTTTTTTTCCTCCCTGCTTTGAGTCTTCACTCATTTGATGCAAGAAAGAACCCTCAAACTCAGAACTGTTTCAAATAAAGCATCAACGTAGATAGCTTGATAGTTTGGTTAAGTACCTGCAGCCCCAAGATCAGAAATCACATCCCATTTCACATAATGAAACATAATTATTTAAAGTTATCTTAAAGGATCCAGCTAAAGCAGGCGAGAAACTTGGGTTGGAAAAAGTAACTGTGTATTTGTGTTCTCTGATACACATAGATCAGATTCCTTTTAAAATTTATAGGAAGGGTCCTTTTTTGATCAGTGCATCTCCTTATCCAGAGTCTTGAAGACATTGATAGCATTTAGATAGCAAAACACCCCATTCTTGTTTAGAATCTGTAGAACACCTTGCTCCCTGAATATTTCCAACCTAGAGTAGGTTTCTTTTGTTTCTCTCCCACATTCCAGCTAGAAATTGTACTAGCTGTCAAACCAGGTGTAGATTATGTAGGAGTGAAGATTGGAATGGAGGAGAGGAACAATTGTATGTGTGGAGAAGAGAGAGGCTTTCCACCTATGTGAAATTTGATTAAGCTTCAAAGCTTAAATGTGTGATGGCCCTGCTGACTCTCCTGGAATGTGTATATAAGAAGTTAGATTTCTGAAACACCCAAGGCTCTGGCTAGCCTAGCATTTTGTTGGCCCTTACAAGGAAACTTCATAATCTCCCCAGGCCAGTTTTTTGTTTGTTTATTTGGATTATCTGTGCATTTTTTTGTGTGTTTTTGTTTTTGTTGGTTGGTTGGTTTTTTTCAGGTTTGGTTTGGTTTGGTTCTAAATCTGTCTGGCAGAGAGAGGGATTGGGGATCTGGTATAGATAAGGACTTGGATGAAGCATAGTGATAATTTCAAAAATGTCTATCTAGCATTTTTTGTGAGTAACAGATAAGGAAGAGTGGGCTCTTGTGGAATGCCTTCTTTCATGATATTTACACGAAACAGGATTCTCTCCTAATAGAAGCAGAGCTGTTTATTTAGTTGCAGTCCCTAAAAATGGGTCCAAGATAGCCCCAGTACAATGGTATTTCTGCTTCTGGCTGTGTGATCTTAAGAGAATAACTAGACCATTTCCTCTGGAGAGGGTGATAATGTATTGAAGGGGGCAAAACACCCATTATGGCACTAATTCTGGTTATTTGTGTATCAATCAATACCTCACACCAACTTAAGGTTATTTAATAGTCTTATTACTAGAAAATACAAAACCCTTTTGATTTCATTTGGGTGATAACAGAACAAAACTGTTATACTACACTTGTAACCCAGAACTCCTACCTAGTTTAGGGAAAACAAGCAAGATTGTGAGTCTCATTGCAAAGAATTAGCTGCTTGAATACAACTCAACAAAGGAATCAAATAGAAACCACAAAATCACAAAACATCTGACCATTTCGAGTATGAATAAGAGAATGCCTACCTGTGTTAATTTTGTTAGCTCACAAAATAAATCCTGTGGTTTCTTCAGTAAACTAATGATTAAAGCAGCCAATTTGTCTGGTCCAAGAGCTTTCTGAGACTGCTTAGGGTGTTTATTGGGCCTAGAATTCACTAGTCTGGATTTAGTTTGCTGGTGATTTTTGGAGATTCCCAAAAACTAGAATAAAGAAGTGACTATTTATAGGTCCGTCAGAATTGGGGAGGAGAAGCTTACCTGTGAGACCCTTTTTTTCAGAGAATGCCCTCCCTTTGGAATGCGGACAGGTAAGCAGCTGAATATTCTGCTTTAATTTCAGTTAAAGTCAAGTGTTAATGGTAAAGGTTAAAAGCAGAGGTGTTTCAAAAGCTTAGCCCAGAGAGCCTTTGAGGCCTGCATTTCCATCTTATCCAGGGCCTCCATACTCTACCCCAAGGAGAGGATTTGCTTTTTTGGAAGATTGCCTTTCTCTGTAGGGGTTCTGGAAGTGCCATTGTGATTTGCAAATATTCTCATCAGGAATAAACACATGTAGGTTAAAATGATGCTGAGCTCTCCTGGTAGCTGTACCTGAGCTAAACACCGAGAGTATCTGGATTTAATTTCAAATAATGCACTGCAGTATTCTTTCATTGTGGAGGCAGAGTGGTAGCTCCTTGTGTTAGTCCTAATGTCAAACAAAATGGATATACATATAGTGGCATTCTTGGGGTCCTGTAGTTTTTACTGTGCCCAGCTCATATTAAGCTCCAAAGTAGGCAGAAACTGGGGAGATAACATTATGCTTATTATTGCCATTTTTAAAGAGGCAGGTTATAAAAATCAAGGTGATTTGTATACTAAATTTTAAATGATTGAAGCAGGACTGGCCTTGGAAAGGAAACCTTTAAGAAAATACTTGTTTTCTTGTGCCAATTCCATGGGTAGAATAAGGAAAACTACCTATATACCATGAGAAAAATACTGTAGTGACTGCTTATTCTTTTGATCACTGTCTTCCTGGTACCATTAAGGTTCAGAACATACTCACATCCTACTTTACAGCCATGGCCTCTTGAGAGGCCACTGAAGACACATGAACCTGTTACCCATACCCACAGCCTCAGGTGACTTCATTCCAGCCATACCGAGGTCTGATAAATGCAGACCTGTGTATGAACAGGGCATTTGCCCTTTACGCAGCAGTTCCACTGCCTGGTCCAACTCACTTATAAACTTGGTAACTGGTGAGACAAATATAAAAGTTCAAATTGTTTATAGCTAGGAAGAATAGCATCCTAAGGCCGACAGTAACCCTGCTGGAGATCAACCATATGGTCAGCAGGTTTGCATTTGTGTTTACCTCATTTAAAGATTGTTTTATAGGGGTGCCTGGGTGGCTCAGTCGTTAAGCATCTGCCTTCGGCTCAGGTCATGATCCCAGGGTCCTGGGATCGAGCCCCA